TCCGATGCCTCGATCGAAGACGACCGACGCCCGCGCGGAAGAGACGGACGGCGACCCAGGCCCGGCGCCACGAGGGCGAGCTCGGCGTCCAGGCCAGTTTCCTGCGCCCGAGGGGTCGGTGCCGTCGTCGTCGTCGTCGTCGTCGTCGTCGTTGTCGTCGTCGTTGTCGTCGTCGTCGTCCGCTCGCTCGCCCGTTCGTCGTCGTTCGCGTCGCCGTCGTTCGCTCGTCCGTTCGATGGTCGTCGTCGTTCATTCGCTTGTCGTCGATCTTTCGTTCGCTGTCGTCACAGTCGTTGTGTTTAACGTCCTCGTCGTAACTGGCATCGTTCGCTCGTCGTTGTCGCCGCCGTAAACGCCTTCGACGATTTTGTCGTCTTCCTCGCCGTCGTCGTCGTCGTCGATTGGTGGAGAGGAAAAGGTTGAGGACGATGAGGAGGAGGAGAAGGAGAGGGAGGTGCTGGTGGCGATCGACGTTGCAGCAGTCCACGGGCCGTCAGAGGAGGGAGGGAGACATGGAGGAATAGAAACAGCGTGTCCACACACGCTTCTGGCGGTCAGCGCGGATTTCTTGGATCTGCGCTGGGCCCCCTCCCTGACGCGCACGCGCGGAGCGCGCCGGGGGCAGCGCTGGAGGCGCCGAGAGGGGGGCCCCAGCCTGGATCCGAGAAATCCGCGCAGAGCGCCAAAAGTTTATGTTTATAGCGCTTTTCGGAGGGAAGGGAGGAGGAGGAGGAGGAGGAGGAGGAGGAGGAGGAGGAGGAGGAGGAGGAGGAGGAGGAGGATGCGGGGGGGGAGATCGATACGGGGTGGAGGGGGCAGGCGGACGGGCGGGCGTGACATTCCCCATTTCCTCGGCGAGGATGAGTCTCGCTCTGCTGAGGCCCAGCCACGACCAGCCACAGCAGATGATCCTCGTTGCCCTGGGTTGTGGCTTGTGGCCTGCCGTCCTGCGTCGTGCCCACCTCGCTCTGTCAGCCTCGTCGCGGCGGGACCTGCCGCACCGACCGCAGAGGGCGGGGGTGGATGCGGCCCTGTTGACGACCTCACGGGGGGGCGCTGCGTGTGGGGCCCGGCAGATACCAGCTACCAGCCACTAGCGACTAGCTGCGGGAAAGGGGGGCGCTTGAATTCACAAGCTAGCATGCAGCTTCATTGTGTGGTTCGCTAGCTGCGTTGAATGTAATTCTCTGGCGATTTCAACCCAAGGCTTCCATGTCGCTGGTAGGTCTCGACCAACGGCATACCATTGGGAATTCTCTAGCAACCTCTTCTGGATCAACTGTAGTCTCCTGGGGTGGAACACAGGCTGGCCGAGCAACAGGACGCGAAACTCCTTTCTCCTACCCTGGACCGCTGCTGCTACGTCGAGGCCAGGAGTTGGACACATCCTGCATACAAGATCACTACAATCGGGCTCTCGGTAATCTGCTGCGTTCTACTACTCTTGCCCAGGCCCTTTCCCTCGCCGCCGCCAACGCGCCTCCCCACGTTGCCCCTGGGAACCGTTGTCATGAGAATGGTGTTCCTTCCGCGACGATCTGCTCCATTACAAGCATCTCCGGCTAGACCGACTCGGAGCCACCATCGAAGTCTCGCATGGGCTTTTTAGGAATTTCTCGCAATCCACCGGGTCCACCGCCATCAGGCTCTGGCACTTCAGGTTCAAGCGAAAGGCGCGGTCGCCGTGGATTCCGCGGCGCGTCGAAGGCGGGCTGCACGATTCCTCTATGCTCCACATTTAATGCCGCGCCACCGAGCCGCCGACCTCGCCCGTGCTCCAGAGCCGAACTGGAAACTTGTCGCGGGCGGCCCTGCGCGGCGATGGAGCCTTGGAAGTCGCACGTGCTCAAGACGCCGAGGAGCGCAGAAGAACTCGGACACGCAAGCGAGCTGCGGCGGCGTCGGGTGTCTGATGCCCGTCGCCGAGGCAACGCTGGGATGCCGCGGAGCGCGTCGGCGTGGCTCCGGTGCTCGACCGCGCGCATGCGTGCAGTGCTTCGCGCTGGTTGACCAGTCCTGTCAATGGACCTGCCTGACTCGAAGTCGTCCTCCGTCCAGCCATCCAGTCCTCGCCTCTGACGTGCAGTCGTACCTCCCTCCCCTCGCGTCGCAAGGGTCACTCGGCCAGATGCGCATAGCCTGTGATACCGCCGACGCAGCGCCCAGTACAGCCTGGCTGGCGGCCCCTCCAATCGAGGGAGCAGCGCCCCTTGCCTTTGGCGTCCCGCACTGGAGAGGAAGCGAGAAAGCTCTCTCACATTTGCTGCCCGGCGTGGTCGAGAAGATCGGCCACTGCAAGCTGCACGTCGAAACTTACTGGACGTCCCGATTCTCAGGGTCCACGATCTGGCATCATCGCGTCCTCGCTCATTTGGTCAGTAGTTCCTGAGCATGCTGGCCGCGACACTGTTAACATCACTGGCTCGATCCGAGAAGGCGCGTTTGCATATAACGCGCGCGCGTTGGCGATGAGCAGAGCGCGTCCCCTTGCTTGCGCAAGCCCTTGGCGTGCGCACCCCGTTGGCGTTGGCCACGCACGCCATGAGTTGCTTCCTACTGGGCCATCTGGTCCCAGAAGGGCGCCCTCTCATCCTAAACCTCCTGACGTACCCGCCCCCCCATCCTACATTCCCCCGTACCTCCATGTCAGGACCGTGCGTTTCTGTGAATACGTGCGGTCGTAGCTCACACGCGACAATGGCGACAAACTACGAGAGGCATTCGAAACACATGCTGTACGTATGCTGATGATCGAGCATGTTCTGATCTCTTTCCAGAGGATGAATTTCTTCAAAATTGTTGCGATTGCATGGCCTGGGGGGTTCGGGTAGAGTGGTTTCCGGCCGTTGCTACAGACTACCCCATCTCATAACGTGCTCCTAAGACATGGCTGAAAGTAGGTGTGCATGGTCGCGCTACTGGATGGCCATGAGACCGAGACCTGTAGCTGACTAATCCTTCATATCGCTAGCACACGAAAGGACGTCGAAACTGCACGAGAAGTGTGATGCCTGCCCTGCGTCACAGGCGGGTACTCCACGGAAGCACTCGGCAACAAAGTACCGCATCGGTGGGCGCACCAGCGGCCCGCGTACATTGAGGTAGACCACTGTGGAGGGTGGGAAAACGAAAACTAACAATTATCGTCCACTGGGGCGCGAGCACCTTCGCCGCCGAACCGCCACCAAAAGGCCGCATGACGCAGACACCGTGCACGTCTGTGACGCTGTTTGGCTCGAGCGTGCGCGGAGCACTCCTGAGGCAGATGCCGAACGACTACGCTGGCACGGAACAGCTCATGAAGTTGGGCATGGAGACCGTCCCATCCATCACTCCTCTCGCACCCGCACGGCAACCTGCAGGCAACGGTGCAGTCCGCGCAGCGCAGCAGAACTCTTCTGCGCAGCGACCGCCTTCGACTTTCAGGCCTCGCGCCAGACAGTAAGAAAGCCGCCCTGGACCACGCAGATAGACAGACAGACAGACAGACAGACAGACAGACAGACAGACAGACAGACAGACAGACAGACAGACAGACAGACAGACAGACAGACGCAGACAGACAGAAAGACTGTCCCGAACAGGGGGCACCTACGAAGGGGCAGCCGGTGAGTCGTAGAAGGGGATAAGGAGTCGGAGAGGTGGGGCCCAGAGTCGACAAATCGGCAAGGCTTTGCGCCCGAGTCGGGGGAATGGGGGCCAGAGTCATATCATGGGAGCCGGAATCGGAGGGATAGGAGCCGAAAGAGGGGAGGCGGGGACGGAGTCGGAGAGGCGAGAACTGGCGCCAGAATCGGGAAGTCGGGGGTCGTGTCGGTGAGCAGATGTGAATTGCGCGGGTGCCACGCATGGTTCAGGTCGGCGTACGAACCCATCTTCGAGAGTTCTCCAATTCTCCGTGGGAGCAATGCCAAGTATGTGTGGAGGTGTGGAAGATGAGGGGGGCAATGACGCAATGAAGCTTGATAGGCTTGTCGCCGTGGATGTGTCGTCGCACGTTGCACCCAGATGCTGTCGCAAATCATGTGTCCATCTTTGTCTGGGCCGTCCTGCTCTGCCGGTTGCCTTGTCATTGCCTGAGGTCCAGTGCTGGCGTTTTCTGTTAGGTCGGGCGTCTCCCTCTACTGGCAGATTTTTGACGAAAAATAAAAATAGTCAACAAGTACACACATGATGCTCAAATTTGGTGAAAAGATCGTCTCCCGACTATTGTTAGACTATTTTTGAATATTCCGCCTGTAGAGGGACAGGCCTGACTGAAGTCCACTGCAGAGCAAGTGTTGCCCATTCGGATCATGAGTCGCGCAGCCATCCAGAGTCATGATGTAAGGATCGACTCGGCGTAGGCCTGATCGGCAGAGAGGCGTTGGGCACGCGGCCTGAACCGTGGCTGCTGGCAGCCCTCGGCGGAGGGGGAGGGGGAGTGGGAGGGGGAGGGGGAGGGGGAGGATGAGGAGGAGGAGGAGGAGGAGGAGGAGGAGGAGGAGGAGAAGCAGGAGGATGAGGGGGAAAAGAGCTCGAAAACTCTGCCGCAGCCCTCGACGAGCCCGGGCTCGCCGGCTCCGAATACTCGCCCTCGCGCCCAGCATCGCGAGCGGAAATACAGTCGGACTTGATCGGAGAGGGCACGCGAGAGGACACAAGACCCTTCCGAAAGGCCACATCGCCATAGGAGTGTAAGAAGGCATGTGTCGCGCGGCACAGGACACAAGGGTACCCTTGAGCTGGCAGGGTCGACCTACCAATCAGGGCCCACTGTAACATGTGAACTCGGGCCTCCGGGCTGGAACGGGGGATCTTCAGCCCGGCGGCTGGGCACCTCCCACCCCGTGCCCCCGGCCCCCCCCCCATTCTCCCCCTGCTCCTCCCCGATATCCTCTCCCCTCCCCATCTCCCCCTCCCCGGCCCGTCTCGTCAATGGCTGCAGATTGGCTTCCTTCACTTGCGTCTCGCCGCAAGAATTGACCTGGGAGGGCCGCGAGGAAGGATGAGTGCGTTTTCGAACCGTCGTTCGACCGCTAGATCCGAAGTGGACCCTCCTCCCCCCATCGTCCCCTTCCCTCGCTTTCATTTGGAAATCGCAATGCTAATGCTGAAGCAGAGACGATCGGAATATCCAATAATAGCGAAAAGCCGAGAGGATAAAACAGTCGAGCAGGAGAAGGAGGACAAAAGGTGGAAGGCAAGGGCTCAGAGCTTGGCTGAGGCGCTCAGGACGGGAGAGCCCGCAAGGGAGGGCACCAGCACGAGGGCCTCGACGGCAGCGCTCGCAGCCGCATCGCCCTTCCGAGCGGTGGCCTCTGCTCCACTCAAGGCTGCCCAGAGGGCCGGCCCCGCAGGGTGCCTCTGGAGCCATGCCGGTGCCGAGCGCAAATCCGCCGGCAACCAGAAGCCACCAGCAGCAGCGCCGCCCGTGAGCGGCACGCACAGCACCGGCCGGCCCGCGGATAAAGCGCGCTCGGCGACGCTGGCGGAGCCGGGGCCGCCCGATATAAGAAGGCACGCGTCGGCCGCTTCTGCCAGGGCCATCCTGGCCTCTGCGTGGGTGGCACCAGCAACGGTGCGCACCACAGCATCCTCCGCCACACCCTCTGGCAGGATCGGAGCCTGAGCACCTGGCACATTGCTGGGCGTGATGTACCTCACAGACAGGGCACCACGGCCTGCGCGGCCGAGCACCACGGCTTCTCGCAAGAATGCCGTGGCAACTACCGCCTGAACGGCCTCCATGCCATTTGTGACCAACTCCAGACACTGAAAGCGGCGTGCCAAACCACGGCCCACCTCACTGCAGAGCCGCACGTGTGAACCCATCCACCACTCGCGGCTCCCAAGTACGGCCAAGCGAGGTGGTCTTGACTGCTCATCGCCCCCGAGCTTCATGGTATCGCCTGCGAGTGGCCTGGAGCACGCGGAAAGTACACGATGTCTTGAGACAAACGACTACGGACAACAAGGGAGAAAGAAGAGGAACCGCATGTGACCCATTCGCACTGCCGAGTAGCCAGCTCTGACGGCCACACGCCAGCCAAATCGGTTCCATCGGCTGTTGCAACCGCTCGCCCGCCCCATCAGCTTCATCGGGCCGCCCTGGGAACGGTGCGCGAGCAGTCCGCAAGTGAGATAAAGGGCGGAACAGACGCTCTTGTCATACGAACCCAAACATTGGAACCGCTATGGTTCCTGCGTCGCCGCCTTGCTGTCGATCTAGACTCAATAACTTACAATCGTGAGCAGCCCGTTGTGCTCAAACGGGGCCCAGGCAGAGCCCAGGAGCCCAAGATTGCCCGAGAACTCCCGAAGACACTGTGTTCAAAAAAATGATGCCTACGTAGACGTTGTGTCTGCTTCCGGAGATCGCCTCACTACGGAATCGTCTTGGAGCCAGCCAATCCACCGACCTTTGACACAAACGGTAAGACATCTTGTTCCAAGTCGTCTGTGGATGTTCGCCGGGGGGGGGGGGCAAGCTGCGCGTCTTAAGTATGACCTCTTGGATTCAGTACTCACGTGGGCCCTAAATTCCATCGCAGGGCGTGCGTTTGCAATTGCGCGTGCGTAGATGCATGTGTATAGATTTATACATACAGGAATTGCAATTCAATAAGCCGCCACTGTCCTCTGGCACGCTGGTGCGTGGTAGAATGCAAAGTGTTTTATCTTGCAATGTTTACGTGAGCCTGCTCAGGTCCCCCCCCCGCATGCCGCACCCGTGCGGGCGCCTGACCCCTCCCTCCCTCGCGAGGCCTTCTGGGCGCCACGTCGCATCCCTGTGCCCCTCCACGGCACTCCGAGGCATCCAAGACGGCGCAAGAGGGCCGCCAAAGTGCCGACATGGCCGAGCATTACCTCACGAGGCACCCGACAGCTCCCAATGATACCCCAGCAAACGCCAAGGGGACCCACAAAGGCCTACAACACATCAAAACGAAAAGCAAACAGCCCCACAACATAACCAAACCCATACATACAACACAACACAATATTCTAACATGTTGGCCAGCGTGGACCCCAAACCGCGTTGATAACTATACGTTGTGACATCTACATTGAGCAATATATGTGGTGCAGCCTACGTGGTATAATATATGTGTTGTGCAGTCTATGTTGTGCAATCCATGTTGTGCAATATGTGTGGTGCAATCGGTGTGGTGCAATTCATAATTGCTCGCAGTGGGTTGTCAACCCCACTGCTCGCGCAATCATCCCCACCCACCCACAACTTGATGGCTAGTATCATCATCGTTGCCAACGTTGACGACGTCATCGTGGTAGCCCGCCCGAGTCAACGACACGCACTGAAATGCCCGCGCGCAAGCACGGCCGTGAAGACGCGCCTGGAAGTTCTCATCGGCAGCGGACATAGCGGCCGCATCAGGTCTGCCGAACCAAATGGCCGATCTGCTCGCGAGCCTGCGCGCGGCAATGCGGCCGTGGAGATGCGCTCGCAAGTTCCAATCTTAGGTCGGGCGTGTCCCCCTACAGACGGGTTTAGGAGAAACAATTCGCCGCCCCAACCGGCCAGAGGCGTGCTAAGACCTCCGGTAACCAGTTAACAGTATAACATGTTCGCGCGAGCGAGGCGGCCCCTGGGGGCCCCGACGCGACAAGTACCCCGCCAAAGTCCTGGCAAATGCCCGTGAGAGATGCCGGAGGCCCCCCAGACGGCCCAAGAGGCGCCCAAGACGGCCTCAAGAGAGCACCCAGACGGTCCAAGAGCCCTTGGAGTCCCCGAAAGATCAGCCGACGATGCCACAAGATCGCTCCAAGGCGTCCACCATGGCCTCCAGACGCCCCCAAGGACCTTCAAAAGCACTCCCGAGAGGGCCCCCGGAGGCAAAATTCATTGATTTTCCTAAGGTTTTGGACACATGTTCGGGTTGCTCCTTTTTCGACTTCCCGACGCTCCAAGATGGCCTAAGAGGCTCCCAAGATCGCCCCAAAGGGGTCCAAGAGGACCCCAAGACAGCCCCAAGACGGAGGCACCCCAAGAAGCCCCAAGAGGCCCCCAAGAGGCCCCAAGAGGCCCCAACACGGCCCCCAAGAGGCCTCAAAACTGCCTTCCAAAAAGCCCCTGAGAGGCCAACCGCGAGAGCCCAACCAACATCCGTGAGGCCTCTGACCCGCCACCCACCGCCTCCGAAAAATGGCAGCCGCCCGACCGCACCGCATTGACAAGAACACCCCGACAAACGACAGCGGCGAGGCAATATGGGCCGGCGGAACGAGCGAAGCGATGAAATTAAGAAGATCCAACCATACTCGAACAGTGCTCAAAAATACCAAGAAAATCGTCCCCCGACTATTTTTTACTATGTTTGAATATTCCCCCTGTAGAGGGACAGGCCCGACTTCAGTCCAATCGGGAGCCGCAATCTTGGCCGAACGCACTTGCCCAAACGAGTTGCGGGTGCGTGGCCTAGCCTGCGCCACACTGCGCACGCCTGTGGTGCACATCGGCCCCTCGGCCCCCGCCGACCCAGGCCGAGATCTTCCGCCGACGCGGTGGGGCTCTGCTGTTCATGACGCGGGTCCCTGGCGCTCCCGACCCCAGCCCCCCAAGACTGGGCGCTCCTTTTGCTTCTCCGTGGGAATACGGAAGCTATACATACATATATATATATATATATATATATATATGTATAGACAGAATGAGAGAGAGAGAGAGACAGAAAAAAAGGAAAGCACAACCATACAAAGAAACAGGTGATGAGAAAGACATATAAACTAGGACAGGGAGATAGAGATACAGTGTGAGAGAGAGAGAGCGAGAAACAACAAAGAGAGAGCACAACCATAAAAAAAGTAAAAGGTAATGAGACAGAGAGATAAACCAATATAGGGAGATAGTGATATAGTGAGAGAGAGAACAAAAAAATAACAAATAATATGCATATCATGGGAGGGAGAGAGAAAGATAATGGGAGAGAGGGAGTTGGAAACACATCTACTTGTGTGTATGCATGTAGAACGAGAGAAACAACTTCTTGAGGGAATGAAGAAATAACTATAGCGATAGAAAGAGAAAGAGAGAGAGAGAGAGAGAGAGAGATGCGAGAGAGAGATACACAAACAACGACAGGGGGCGAGATAAAGAGAGAAAGAGAGAGAGGAAGAGGAACAGAGAAAGAGGGATAATTATAGAGAGAGGGAGAGAGGGAACAACAACTCAAGCAACAACGCAGACGGAGGACGATTGCCGCGCCAGGGGAGAGCCGCAGCGCGTCCTTCGCGCGCTGGAACACGTCGACGAACTCCCCCACCTCGGTGGAGGAGGCGAGGCTGGGCACGAGCCGGGCAACGGCCGGGGCCGGAACGGGGCCGAGCCCGTCCCAGACGATTCGTGACTCTCCACCCCCACCTCGTCCCCCCTCCTCCTCCTCCTCCTCCTCCTCCTCCTCTTCCTCCTCCTCCTCCTCCTCCTCCTCCTCCTCCTCCTCCTCCTCCTCCTCCTCCTCTCGTCCTCCTCCTCCTCCTCCTCCTCTTCCTCCTCCTATTCCTCCTCCTCCCCCTCATATTCCTCCTCCTCCTCTTCCTCCTCCTCCTTCTGCGCATCTTTCCATGAAGCCCTGGGGCCGAACCACGGATGTCCGAGTGGAGGGAGGCTTTTGCGGGGCTGGTCCAACCGCATCGACGGTTTGTTCTTCGTGTCGGCTCATGCCTGCCTCTAGCCAAGGACCTTCTCAGGCTTGTTTATCTGTGCTTAGACTTACATACTGCGGTGAACAAGGGGCGCATGAGAACCCAGGTGCGCAAGGTCTCTCTTCGATGTCTTTGGATACGGCCTCGAACTGCAAGGCTGATCCAGGATGGGCTCGCCGCGATGAGGCTTCGGAGGATGTCCAGGCCCAAGCCCCTCCAGCGCCCCCCGCCTTCCCCTCCAAGCCCCGTTGCTGAGGCCACGGTGGGGACTTTTTTCCGGGCGTGCTTCTGAGGGGACCCACCCTTCGGGGCGGAGAACAGGCATCAATGTCACGCCGCCGCGGGGGCCCTCAGGGCCTCCAGCGGCGCGTTGTTCCCTCGGTTGTCGCCCGAGCAGGACAGCGCACGTCGACAGCAACACGCCGAGGGGGCCTGGGGGCCCCCGCGGCGGCGTGACAGTGATACTCCTTCGCCCCCCCGAACCCTTGCGAAGAATAGAGGCCATTGCCCACCAGAGCGTCCTGCCACGTCTGAGGGCGGCCTCATCGCTTCTTCTGCTACGCGACGCGTGGAGGAGGCCATGCCACAGCGTCGTCAGGCTCGAGAGGCTCGCAAGTTTTCAACTCACGCCTTGGCTCCACACTTTTTGCGTTTGCGGCTGGCAGCGTCACTCCGCTGGCGATGAGGCGTTGGTGGATGTACGAAACATTAAATCACCATGCAGGAGGAGGAGGAGGAGGAGGAGGAGGAGGAGGAGGAGGAGGAGGAGTGAAAGGGCGCCCGGCGACGGCGGGAGGGAGGAAGCCGGGCCCGCTCAGAGCAGGGCCAGGCGCGCGGCGGAGGCGGCGCCGGGGGGCACCCTGGCTCCACACAAGGGGTCCGGAAAAAAGGGCGCATGCAGCTTCCTCCGCTCTGAGCGTTCAAATCGGGCGCTTCGGCTGGGCCCTGCTGTCCTGGAGCCCAGGCGGTTGAGTTCGTCGGTTCTCGCTTCTTTTTTTCCTAACCATCCTGTGGTGTTGGGTATTCGTTTTGACGAGACGGTCCCCGCGTTTCTCCAACCTCCTTCCTCCCTCCCCCTCCTCCCCCTCCTCCCTCCTCCCTGCGTTTCACCCACCCACTACAATGCTTCGTGACCCCATAGGGAGCTCCACCGACCCCCCCAGTGGGACCGTCCAGGGCGCATGAATTTGGCATTTTCATCCACCCAGTACAGCGCGTCGTGGCCCCATAGGGAGCTCCACCGAAGCCCCCAGTGGGACCGTCCGGGAGGCATGGTTTTTTTTCATCCACCCAGTACAACGTTTCGTGGCCCTCTAGGGAGCTCCACCGAAGCCCCCAGTGGGACCGTCCGCATGCGTCCCAGAAACCCAATTTGGCATTTTCACCGACACAACACAGCGCTTCGTGGCCCCATAGGGAGCTCCACCGAAACCCCCAGTGGG